AGTAACTACTGGTATCTTCTCTATTATGCGATCTCAAGAATAACTAGTAACTACTGGTATCTTCTCTATTATGCGATCTCAAGAGTAACTAGTAACTACTGGTATCTTCTCTATTATGCGATCTCAAGAATAACTAGTAACTACTGGTATCTTCTCTATTATGCGATCTCAAGAATAACTAGTAACTACTGGTATCTTCTCTATTATGCGATCTCAAGAATAACTAGTAACTACTGGTATCTTCTCTATTATGCGATCTCAAGAATAACTAGTAACTACTGGTATCTTCTCTATTATGCGATCTCAAGAATAACTAGTAACTACTGGTATCTTCTCTATTATGCGATCTCAAGAATAACTAGTAACTACTGGTATCTTCTCTATTATGTGATCTCAAGAATAACTAGTAACTACTGGTATCTTCTCTATTATGCGATCTCAAGAATAACTAGTAACTACTGGTATCTTCTCTATTATGCGATCTCAAGAATAACTAGTAACTACTGGTATCTTCTCTATTATGCGATCTCAAGAATAACTAGTAACTACTGGTATCTTCTCTATTATGCGATCTCAAGAATAACTAGTAACTACTGGTATCTTCTCTATTATGCGATCTCAAGAATAACTAGTAACTACTGGTATCTTCTCTATTATGCGATCTCAAGAATAACTAGTAACTACTGGTATCTTCTCTATTATGCGATCTCAAGAATAACTAGTAACTACTGGTATCTTCTCTATTATGCGATCTCAAGAATAACTAGTAACTACTGGTATCTTCTCTATTATGTGATCTCAAGAATAACTAGTAACTACTGGTATCTTCTCTATTATGCGATCTCAAGAATAACTAGTAACTACTGGTATCTTCTCTATTATGCGATCTCAAGAATAACTAGTAACTACTGGTATCTTCTCTATTATGTGATCTCAAGAATAACTAGTAACTACTGGTATCTTCTCTATTATGCGATCTCAAGAATAACTAGTAACTACTGGTATCTTCTCTATTATGCGATCTCAAGAATAACTAGTAACTACTGGTATCTTCTCTATTATGTGATCTCAAGAATAACTAGTAACTACTGGTATCTTCTCTCAGCCCGGGTTACAATCACTACCACATTATAACAGTACTGACCAGTGACCAGTGACCAAAGTAAGATAACAGTGCATTTCTATTGCTCAGATGAACAGTAACTTTGGTCCAGACTCCAGAGGATTAAAACTAGGTTTAGAGTATTAAAACCAGTACAGCTATAAAAAGAAAAAATTGGACAATGATTGGTAAAAAAATATGATATCCATAGCTTCTAAGGAATTGTTCAAGTGATTAAAATCGTTTCCTCGTAAGTAGTTAGCTTAGTAGTAAGCTAATCCAATACAAGCAAGCTAATCCAATACAAGTTTTCGTCCTATTTTTAGAAGACTATAAACTACAAATTATTCGGATATAATGAACATTCATCAAGAAATGTGTTTACTGCAAGAGATCATTCACATGTTAGGGGATGTGGGAAAGCTTATAGTTGATTACAAAGGGGCCTGGCAAGGGGCTTAAGTAAGCAACAAATTTAAATTTCCAACAAAAAATGTTTTGCCAAGATTCGAGATGTGACATGGGTATTTGGAATATAAGACCCCGATCTGTTAATAAAAAAGATTGTCAATGAAAATGTTAGGTGAGCCATGAGGGGGGGGGGGGGGGGTTGGTGATGGGGGGGGGGGGGGGGGGGCTTGTGATGGGGGGGGGGTGGGGGGTGGTGATGGGGGGCTGGTGATGGGGGGGGGGGGGGGTGGGGGGGGGGGAGGTGATGGAGGGGGGGGGGGGGGGGGGGGGGGGGGGGGGATTTCCTAAACCTGGCTACGTAATAATATGTGAACGATTCCAATGTTACACTAAACTGGTGAACTGTACCTTCTACAACCACAGTCGCTGACTCCCTAACTTCCTGTACCACCTTCTACTTGACAGCTGGTTCCACCCACAGTCATTGCATTTACATTAAGCCCCACCCTATTCCCTTAATAAGTTCCCTCTGGCAGTGTCAGTGTCTGGGAAGGTGTGACGATGACAAAACAACTCGCTTAAAATAGCGAGTCATTGGAGGATAGTGACATTTAATCAGTGGACTTATGCAATTCTGTTGGGTTGGGTGAGCTAAAATGATTACAAGGATATTATCAATCATGATTGACAAAATATGACGTCGGATTACTTTGAATGTTATAATGTCGCGTCAAAGTAGTAAATATTCGGCAAATTTTATCGAAGATAAGCTTAATGGCTTATCTCGAAATTCTGAGCCATTACAGCTTATTATAGCTTGTTCTTTAACTTGATTTTACAGACGAATCTAAAGATTTGCGTCAGAAAAGTAGGAGTGGCAATGTCGGGATAAAAACTGAAAATTCTGTAGAATAGCTAACTACAAGTATTAAAAAATAATCTGACGAATGCCAACCGACCAGCACCCTACTTCCACTTTAATGTGGAACCAAAGCTAAACGTAATTATTTGCAGGAATGTCGGATGTGTTATCCATTATCTGGCTCAAACAGGAATGAACGATCCTGAGTGTCCCCGGACATGTTATATGACCACGTGCTAGTCGAACACTACATCCCCACCCAATTTAACCATAGAGTTTCTAGAGAGGGGATATGTATCCACGGATAATTATTTGGATCAAAGGCATTGTCAAATTTAGATTGAACGAGTACACAATGTAGAAATAATGGGCAATTAAATGAATTTTGACAAATCGCCGAGACTTGACAAACAATTATTAAATTCTGGCTGCTAGATTAGATATGATTGAAAGGAAAATGTGACAAATATAAATAGACAGATGCAAAGAGATATTGAATGTGGTGTACAGAAAGCTAAAATGTTGCTAAAATGTTGCTAAGAGATATATCTCTTAGCAACATTTTAGCAACATTTAAGTTATATATAACTTAAATGTTGCTAACAGAAATAAGTGATAACTTAAATATTGCTAACAGCTAAAACTTAAATGTTGCTAACAGATATAACTTAAATGTTGCTAACAGATAAAACTTAAATGTTGCTAACAGATATACCGTAAGTAATAACTTAAATGTTGCTAACAGATATAAGTTAAATGTTGCTAACAGACATAAGTTAAATGTTGCTAACACTGACAGAGAGCTAAAAGTAAAAGGGAGGTAGCCAGAATGCGGCCAAGAGCAAACATTAGGCCACGCCGCTTTACTTGCATAATCGACTGTAAGTATTTTTGGCTGTAATGATTTGGATTATGCTATATAAAGTGCAACAACCCATTTTCTGTTCGGTGTATCAATCTGAGTGAGTGTGGTTTGAGTATTTCTCGAAGATTCAAGAACAAACTCCAAAACAATGATCGATGATATTCGAGAAAGTTATCTAACAATGAGGCCACTATCACATTGAAGGCATGTGATACCTGTGATGGCATGGCATAACATTACTCGTGTCCACATGGCCTGGGTATTACGGGTATTATCCCGCATCTGTGCGTCGTTTATGGCGAGTGAGCCCGACTAAGCCGATACGGAGGGTGGATAAGTTTTACTGTTTTGTCAAAGGAAATCTGATTCTAAAAACTTATTACAACACTACAAATCTATTACGTTTATTGAGGAAACGATGTAACAGAGTCGATATGTTTTAATGTTGCCATAGGGTGGCAACTGGCAAGACCGCATTCATCGTAGTCCAATAGTTTCACTGCATCCTAATATATAAAGCTATGAGCTACAGAGCTACAGAGCTACAGAGCTACAGAGCTACAGAGCTACAGAGCTACAGAGCTACAGAGCTACAGAGCTACAGAGCTACAGAGCTACAGAGCTACAGAGCTACAGAGCTACAGAGCTACAGAGCTACAGAGCTACAGAGCTACAGAGCTACAGAGCTACAGAGCTACAGAGCTACAGAGCTACAGAGCTACAGAGCTACAGAGCTACAGAGCTACAGAGCTACAGAGCTACAGAGCTACAGAGCTACAGAGCTACAGAGCTACAGAGCTACAGAGCTACACGTGATGCCCAAATAAGGAGTGACACGTTTGTACAGAGCTGACATTCATCTTGGGCAGCACGACATGAGAGCGACTTACCCTGCTCGTTGGTCACGTGGTCACGTGGTCTTTTATCCCGATCAGTAACTTATCCTGCATGTTTTAGGGGTTTGTCATTGTTTGACGGTATTTAATTGTGGAGAGAGTTTTGACGATTTGGATACTGGTATGAAAGAACATTTTCAAATGTTATAACAAAAGACAAATTCAATATCTGCCCTTAAACAAATCCGTTGATTTAAAAGAAATAAGTATGTATTGGGAATCTCCTGCAGGTGTACTACTTACTTACTACTAAAAGTGTACTTCACACAATAGCTTTTACATATTCATATTCGCAGTCTCCGAAAGATTTCGAGAATACTAAGGATAAAGTTCAAAAACATTAGACGGACAAAAGGTGGAGGTACAATGCTCGATTGTTAACCATTGTTACCAACCAGCACGTGTATAATAGTGGGTACTTATCATGTCATGGTAAAATAAGGTCCTGACGGATATCTCTGTTTAATTATTCTACACAATTATCAGCTATGGAAAGTTTTATCAAAATGGTTGAAATGGCGTAAAGACAGCTACAGAGCTACAGAGCTACAGAGCTACAGAGCTACAGAGCTACAGAGCTACAGAGCTACAGAGCTACAGAGCTACAGAGCTACCGAGCTACAGAGCTACAGAGCTACCGAGCTACAGAGCTACAGAGCTACACGTGATGCCCAAATAAGGAGTGACACGTTTGTACAGAGCTGACATTCATCTTGGCAGCACGACAGGAGAGCGACTTACCCTGCTCGGTGATCACGTGATCACGTGGTCTTTTATCCCGATCAGTGACTTATCCTGCATGTTTTAGGGGTTTGTCATTGTTTGACGGTATTTAATTGTGGAGAGAGTTTTGACGATTTGGATACTGGTATGAAAGAACATTTTCAAATGTTATAACAAAAGACAAATTCAATATCTGCCCTTAAACAAATCCGTTGATTTAAAAGAAATAAGTATGTATTGGGAATCTCCTGCAGGTGTACTACTTACTTACTACTAAAAGTGTACTTCACACAATAGCTTTTACATATTCATATTCGCAGTCTCCGAAAGATTTCGAGAATACTAAGGATAAAGATCAAAAACATTAGACGGACAAAAGGTGGAGGTACAATGCTCGATTGTTAACCATTGTTACCAACCAGCACGTGTATAATAGTGGGTACTTATCATGTCATGATAAAATAAGGTCCTGACGGATATCTCTGTTTAATTATTCTACACAATTATCAGCTATGGAAAGTTTTATCAAAATGGTTGAAATGGCGTAAAGACAGCACAGTCAACCCTTGTTACACATATTTACACATTTAACAAATTCTGTGTCAACATATAAGTTGACCTAAATTTCAAAAAATGAAAAGCTACATAGATTGTTCCCTATCAGAAAAAAGACATCGTTCGTCTCAGGTCAATTCTGTATCGTGTCGTTAAAGCTTGAATTTCTCGGTCACGTGTGACCAAATACATTGTTTATGAAGAAGAAGATGACTGTTCGGAGTTTTCTTTGCTCTTCTTGTAGTTGCACTGGAGATAAAAGTCAGACTCTCTGGAGACGCATGATTGGGAGGACTGCTGTCCCTCGTCGCTGGATGAGGACTGGGATATCGGTTGACAGGAAGAACTACTTTCGTTACTCTCCGAGTCAAATTTGCGGATTTTTCTTTCTTGTCCTGGAGAGTTTGCTATTAGTATATGGATTCCGGTGCTTAGGGTCATGCATTTTGAAACTAATTTAATTTAACCGGAAAAAGATTTGTGATCCGTCTTTCAGTTTGCGTTAATAAAGAATTGAACGTTGGAAAGCTATTCATGATCTGTTATCTAAATGTACGTACCTTGATGGCTTTCTTGCTCCTCTATAAACTCTGCTAATCTCTTATTGTTATCATTGGAATCATTCTGGGGCAAATCCTCTTTTCTGTACTCTTTCTTTAGATCGTCTTTTTCCCACGAAGTTTCGTGTTGGTATGAGTTCTGAAAGGAAGGCTTATTAGTCGAACTGGTTTAACAAACATAGGATATCAACAATTCACTAGGAAAAACTTAAACTTGAAATCACAGGTTTTCCCTTCTTAATTTTAAAATATAATCGATTTAACTTACATCTTGTCGCTCGGAAGTGCCATAGCCAGAATCGTCAGCTCCAGAATCTCCACTGTGATTTTGGGGAGAAACTCTGTTGTTGCTGGAGACACTTGTAGTCTGGGGCTGAGAAGTAGCAGTGGGTGAGGTTGTGGTGACCACGTTAGGGCAGTACTCCCCGCCAACACTGCAGCTGCTGTACTGCTCCACTTCCATTGGCCTACTCCTGTCGTACTGCTCTGCTGTCCTTGCAATGGACTTGGAGTCTGGAGTTTGACATCTGAATGTGGTTTGGAGTCGGACTCTGTTTCCGGTAGCGGTGAAACTCCGGGGAGATAATCTCGGGGTGTTGTTGATATCGAGCCATCCTTGTTGAGGGTTTCTGCATCTTAGTCTGGTTAAATCTTTGTTGTGATCAAGTAGATGAGGAGGCACAACTCTCTTCCTTTTGATTTTTGGAGAGGAGTGCACGTGTGCAGTAGTTCGGGCGTTTTCGTTAATCGTGGAAGTGAAGTGAAGGAAATCCTGAGAATGATAATTTTGTTAGAGCTTTATAATCATTGACTTCGAAACTACATTTTAAAATTGGGGAGTAGTAATTCAATTCGAATGCCAAAATTTTATTTGAAAATAGTACAAATATAAACATATTAAATAGTTAATATTTACCTCAACTGAATCAGAATGAGGAGAAGTCACTTGATTTTCCTGTTCTGTGAAGCTTCTGGACAGTTTCATAACTTCAGAATTCTTGACATCCTTTGCAGGAGACTTGTTCACACATCGCTCTATAGTCTGAAAATTAAAAATCGGTAAGAAATTGAACACCCTATGATATCTATTATTTCCTCCAGTATTGGAATATACGGCTGTGACTGTAGCTTTTATAATTTATTTGTTTACACATATTCGGATTGGTATGTGCCATGTGGTACATGAGAAGATAGTTGTTGGGTTCCGAACATACGATGATACCCGTATTGATAACTGACCAAATGATGAAAACTAACCATGAGTTTTCTGGAAATTACCAGTCAGCAACGGATAAGTTTTGTTGCAATATCCGCATTGACATCATTAACATAACAGCTAAGTGAAGATAACCACAAAATAGACCCTTCGCAGAGGCTGTTACATTACCAGCAGATAGTGTTAGTGTGTTACAGATAACTACAGCTAGTGTTACAGATAAGTGACCACATCCGACGAAAATGAATGGTCAAAATAAATATTTTTTCTCAAAAACTGATTGGAGTATTTAATTTTGTTTTGGCCTGATTAATATCACTACACTGAGCGAACGTTATAGTTCACACTATCCATACTCCTTGGAAAATCCTTGTATTAGACCATCTATGTGATTGAAAATTGTTCCACTTTTGACCAGTCATTTTGAGTGGATGTGGTTCCACCTAAGGTTAAACGCAGGTGTTCGGTTCATAACACTGATCATCTTACCAATCGGAAGTCCGTGCCTCGAATTGGTGGATCGGAAATATTATTTTCACTATCACGAATATAATCGTTATCTGGTGGTACGGAGCTATCACTCTGGGATTAAACTGTTAACGAGAAAAATATTCTGTTAGATCTTTATCTAAACTTGAAACGTATAGCCAGTTGATTTGCATCCATTCAATAAAAAACGGATTGAGATACAAAATTGGTCATATTTTTACCTTCGTATCGTGTCATGCGAAGCTAAGATCTTGACTATGGACAAATACAATGCCTTGGCTTGTATCTAAGTAGTTTGTAAGTCAGATCGGTTTACTAAAAGTTTAAGGCACATATTATGTCATGTGGGTATGTATCTGGGTTGATCTGATTTATAATCATAATGCTGTCTTCAGTTTCAGGCGAAACATCAGAACTTTATCTTTAGATTAGATTGAACGACTGACGTCGTTCTGCTTAACTACTTTTCAAGGTACTGCTTAAACCACGAATAAGCATTTATCATCAAACAGGTTTAAAGGATCTATTACATTTCTGACAGCTTGCACTTCAAAGGGAGATCCTTCAACAATGTTAACTGGAACAACTTATAAAGAGTTGCTGAATCAGGCGCAGGGTTTGATATTGTGCCAAGTTATTGTTACGTTTATAGTCAGGGAGCAATAAATTAAAGAGGAACCGGAAAACAATTTTTGATAAATAGTGCGTATTCAGGTAGAAACTTACTGCTCTGTTGTGTTTAGTCTTCTTTTTACAAGGTGCAGTTACGAGTATTGAGGAGTAGGGATTCTTGGATAGGATCAATGCAGTCTGTATGCACAGAACTCGCTCGTGATTCTTCATTCCCTGAAAATGAGGCAGGTTAGAATGAGAAGTTTCAACCACCCAAAATTTAATAACCACATTTAATTTGAAGGGTATATAATGAGTTAACTACTCTTTGACGTCAGCTGTGAAATTGTCGTTTAAATCAACTTGAATTTAGTCAAGCTCGATGCATTCTATCTAACCATATTCTGATAAACTTTAAACGGCTTTGCAGTTAAATGAATATGGAATAGTATTATAGTGGCCTGTTTATGTTCTGACAAATAATAATGCAACATTTATAATGTAATAATAACCGTTGCAGAACTGGATGTAAAGAATATCGTTTAAAAGCTGGATTTTAAGTTGGTTGCTCGACAAAGAAGCAAATAACGAAGAAAAAAGCAATGATTCTCACCTGAAACTGAGACCAGTAGATGGTGTGCTCCCAAAGATGCTTTGTTAGACAGACTTTGCTTTTGTACTTTTTGCAGCAAACGGGACAGGTGACATCCTGTTTTGTTTCGTTGTAGATACAAAGTCGGAGAATCTCAACTACATCCTGGAGAGTGAGTGTTCCGTCAAGGAGTGGTTTTGGTGTTCTGCGTAGGATGGGCGCTGCTCGGATGTGTCTGTAATCCAGGGGGCCCTGAGGAAGATTTTGAGTTACGGTACTGTTGTTGTAGGGAAGCTTTAATTGTGAATATTTAAAATGCTTCAATTGGTCATGGAGAAAGTCAGCTCATAAATCATTATCATATCAATATCAATCAAATCAAGGATTATGTCTGTCGATTGCATAATCTGACACCTTGTATCTCGTATTTACCTGAGGTTCATGATAAACAGGGAACTGAAGTGTGGGAGAAGTTCCCTGATGAAGAACAGGTAGAAAGACTCTCGGAGAATGGTAAGTAGGGGTAGGTTTATACAGGACTTGAGACAGTGGTGGGAAAAACAAGTCTGATTTTGTGGGCTGGTATTGGGGAGGTCTCAGTAGGACTTCGGATTGGAAGCCGTAAGTGAGGTGAGGGTATCGGGTACCGTAAGGTAGCTCCAGCCCAGAGGACACTCGGTTTTGCTGTTTCATCTGCATGACTAGCTATCGAGATTGATTGGTTATAATTGTGTTTCACGAGGCATAAGCCAAGTAATTCAGTGCAGCAAACAATTTATGATAATAAAATACATGTTTAAAGAGGCAATCAGCATGCTGGTGATCACCGTGATCAAGTGGTTTGCCATAAATTATAAGATGAGGTCACTCAATTTATCAGGTTATTAAGTTAACCAACCAGCTTTTGCGCAGTTATATCATACTATAAAAGTCACGCACTTTAAAGTGCCTTAAAGTGTTCTTCCCATGTCTGGCTTGCTTGGGAATTAAGGGATATAATCATTGGAAGGTTGAAGATGTGTGTGGTTTAACTAAGTGATTCCATCAGGACAAGTGTATTTTATCAGAGTTGGTAGGTAAATACTAGTTTGCAATTTTAAATTTAAATTTAATCCAATAAATTTAACCACTTTTAAGCATAAAATATTATAAATCTCGAGATAAACAAAATAAATGTAAAACTGATTGCAGTGCAAGTTTCGGATAATTTATGGCAAGTTCGTATTGCTTTAATTCAAGTTCGAGCCAATAATTAGCACTAATAAAGAAGGCTTTCTCTAAGAACATGCAAAAGCTTGGCTTACTTCGCAATATCAATATAGAAGGCTATAAAGTTAAACGCTGTTCTAACGTCTCAGGGCGTAAAGCGCCCAAATATTTCCAGGTCGCAACAGTTCACAATATATATAGCAGCCTTTTAAAGATGGTAAATGGTTAGTCTTGCGAGAACTAAGTAACCATCTCAATATTACTTGCCTTTATACGAAGTAAGAAAGATAGCACAAAATATCAGAAGATAAAGTTGAGGTCGAGGTGCAACACCAATGCTGCAACCAAACTGATATCAACAAGTGCGATTTAGATTGAAAATTGGCGGCGCTTAGCTTTATAAAAGAGCACTGTATCCACTAGCCGGCTGGGTAATTACAACGCAGGCAGGAGAGGAAGGTGAATGGGCAATCTGCCCATATTGGGAATTCATGCCTCTCTAAGCTTCCACCCTCACTAACGTCAGCGTGAGCCGCAATCCATCATATCACGTGCTGGCACAGTTTAACTTGTACCTACGTATTAACATCCACGGTTTGAAAAATACAGATATGAACCCTACTTGCATGTTCTCTCTCAATTCTGAACTAGTAAATCTGATTAAGAATAATAGTACGACAGTAAAAACAACGAACCCTGGATCTAAGAACGGATTGAGGGTAATGTTTATAAAGGGCGCTGCTTCATACCTGTGTGAGGTATGTGTCGCGTTACAGAACCTAGACGATCCGGCGCGTGACACGGTCATCTCAACCACCATTTAATATACCATGCGAGGGATATGAAGCGTTAATTATCATTTGGAGAGGTACAACTATGAACTACCATGTAAATATGTCCCCTTAATACTTGGCTATTAGGTGATGCGGATGTCTGCAGGTTTTTGTTGTTTATTTTTATCGATCAGTGTAGGCCGTAGGGTTGGAATTAGAAGATTCAAAGTTAACAAGGATGCGCCCCTTACATAAAATGTTCAATAATTTTACCAAAACAAACAAATTTCTGACATGGACAAGTAAATGAAAGAAATTATCACTAATTTTTCAAAAAAAGTATCGTCAAGGCCACCAGAGCAGAAAAAAAATCTCTTTACGACCAATAAGAAACTTCCACGTCAGAGTAATGGCCAATAAAAAGAGGAGCTTACACTTGACTTGTATAACAAATTGAGAAGCACAGTGCAGGGCTTAGCGTGCACCAAAGAGACAAGCACACCCTGCCTAAAATAGTTGGGAAATAAGCTAAATTATTTTTGCCATGCAGACCGTTATTTTCGTCATTCCTAGCTTCGACCCATGAGTCATGACATGTGTTGAGATCCTTTAATTTCATAATCTTTGAGATGCAACACGGTGATTGTTGTGCTGGTGCCAAAACGTTCGTATAACGGACATTTTGAATTTTCAACACCAAAAAATGCCGTCTGCAACGGAAATAGGTAAAAACGTCAGCACGTTAAAAATTTCTCGACATTTTAATGTCTTTTTGATGTGACGCATCAAATGATTCAACCAAATTTTTCACATTCATTTGACGATTGTCATGGTGACGGTTAAATTTGACGTGTCAAGAAATTATTTCAAAAATCTTTTGCATGATTAAAATATAAATATCCGATATCTACCCTAAAACTCTTAAAGCTGGTTAATCCTCTACAGCCCCACCCCACATAAATAAATATGTTATTCATTGTTCATGTTTACAGCTCATCATAACTCCACGTGATGCATTGAAAATCAGTCATTTCAGATTAGACATGTAACCGCACTCTTAGTTCTTAGATTCGTAACATTTGGCGAAATGCCGTTCACTAGAATTTTCTCAACATAACAGAACTGATGGCTTATATACTGATAGTGATAGGCAATCAGTGTATTAAGTTCAGATCTAATGATTTAGCTTGAAAGTCATATATAACCCCAAATATAATAACCATGAAATAGGAAAAAGACACCAATAGCTCAAAAATAACCATACAAATAACTTTTTAATGAAAACGTTTTAGGCATTTTAGAGGTTAATACATGTCATTTTAATATCTTACACTCAAATATTCAATTTCGTTTAATTAAATTGAATATTATATCATTTTATGACAATGACAGCGGAGCTATTAAATTTATATGTTAAACAGGTGATCTCAAATAAATATTACGACATACTTAAAGTTAAGGTAATACTGATATTCGGATATGACAATTTAAAGCCATGATTTTTTGAAAACTCGGGCAACCCAGTCATGTTCTGATTTTATGTTTGCAATGTTCTGGCTTGATTTTCTGAAGATGATATATTCTTTTGGACTCATCTAGTACTATTATAATTTAAATTACGTTACTAAACATACAAATTTGTATATACATTCAAACGTTGTAAAATGTAAAGTATAACGATATATTATGACAACCCTGTTATATGTGGTATCTTATAAGCTTGGTGCGGTGCTCTACAAAGAATCCAAATTTAATTCTCCATATTATTTGGCAAAATTAGACAGAAATCAGCTAAAAATACGCGGTCCTACGTGTTTCGTTACACTTATATAGAAACTCAACAAATATTACCAGCATGGGGAGGCTAAAAGCGCAATGAACGTCATCGTTTATTGTTCACTGATGTTTATATCGGAGACATGTGGCGTTGTTACTTTATTTGGGCTATATAAATATAAAACAAAATATAAATATAAAACAAAAAGTTTTCTTTAAACTTCCCCCGCTTCGATTAACGAAGATTTTATAATGAATGATTACTTTCTGATAACCATTTGAATTAAAAAGTCTCTGGTAAACCAGGACTCAGGAGGGTACGACGAGAGGGGCTGTGTTTGTGCAATAGAGAACTGCAAACAGAAGCCTTGTTTTATACGTTCTGATAACCATTTGCACGTTGTGGACGATCTTATAATCTATACCGACCACGAAGAAAACTTGACAATTCAACGGTGTCAATTAAGATTTGAAAATGAATAATCTCTTTCTGATGCAAAACCATTTGCTCATGTTGACTCGATTCTAATGACAATACCGATAAATCGATCAAATCGATTTATTCTCGACCCCCGGAGAACAATTTAACTAAAGGATAGGCACCTATAAATTCGGTAGTTGATATTCATTTCCATATCTAATTAGTTCAAAAGAAGGTGGAGCAAGCATGTCAAAGTTAGTTAATTTGTTCATTATTAGTTAACGGCCCTGCCTCTAGAAATTTAGCTTGTTGCAATTTCGATGAACTTATTTAACTTGGAGATTTAATACTTACGAGAGATTTAATCAGTGAAAACGACTGCATTTGCCTGGTAGAATTGTTATGTCTACAACTCTACAGACGGGTACATCTCTTAATGATATTTCTTTAATGTAGAAGCAGAGGGAAATTATTATTATTGTCAAAAATTATAGAATGAATGATTACTTTTCAGAAAGTTGAAACATCCCAAGAGACCTCCTCAACAGCTTCCACGCCTAGGAAGAAAATATTCAGTTACACCAAGAAAACAGGGCCAAGCCTAAGATCTCGCCTCGTCAAATTGAAAGAACTTGCTTTAGGAGCTAAACATGGTCCAACCAGCAAATGCCATATGCCAAGATGCAAATGCTGCGAACTTGTCAAAGGCAGCCATGAATTCAAAGTGAACGGCGAGAAGGTTAAAGCTTCCCCTGGAAACTGCCTGAGTTACAACATCATTTATCTGTTCCAATGTAGTTTCTGTAGAAATTGGCTTACGTCGGTCGCACTACTCACTCTCTACGGGTTAGAACTGGAGAACATAGGGTCAAATATTATAAACTTTTAAATGGTGATAAGGTAGATGAAACAAGTGATGAATATAGTTTGGGCTTACATTTGTTGGATCATGGTTATAAACAAAGGGAGGATTTTAACAAAATTTTTAATGTTTCAATTATTGATAATTCTAGTCCTAAAACTTTAGAAGTTCGTGAACATAAATATATTCAACAACTCAAGACTTTAAAACCTTTGGGAATAAACACTATAAATCCTTTTGGCCTTCCGTTACTCCTAACATCTTAATTTTAATTTTTATATAACCATTTTAAGAGTGTTCAGATTTTTAAAGGAATTTTGGGTTTTACTAACTTTTTACAATTTTTAGGCTTATGTCACTGAAGATGACGCCTTGCAACATGTTTGACGATAGCCTGTAAGTTGATAGTTTGATCTCAGTATTTACAACAAATCATCTAGCTTGATTGATTCAAAGGGAGAGTTAAATTCCTCTGATTACTTTCTGATAATCATTTGAATTGAATTAAAAAGTCTCTAGCAAACCAGTCCTCAGGAGGGTACGAGGAGAGATAAAGGGGCTGCTGACTCTGGGGGCCTGTGCAATATAGAGAACTGCAAACAGAAGACTTTGTGAGTTTTATACGTTCTGATAACCATTTGCACGTTGTGGACGATTATATCATCAATACCGATAAATCGATTAAGTATGTTATCGTTGACCCTCGACCACGAAGAAAACTTGACAATTCAACAGTGTTAATTAAGATTTCAAAATGAATAATCTCTTTCTGATACAAAACCATTTGCTCATGTTGACGCGATTCTAATGCCAATACCGATAAATCGATCATAGTATTATATTATATCGTTTATTCTCGACCCCGGAGAACGATTTGACTGAAGGATGGGCACCTATAAATTCGGTAGTTGATATTCATTTTCATATCTAATCAGGTCAAAAGAAGGTGGAGCAAGCATGTCAAAGTTAGTTAATTTGTTCATTATTAGTTAACGGCCCTGCCTCTAGAAATTTAGCTTGTTGCAATTTCGAGAAACTTATTTAACTTGGAGATTTAATATTTACGAGATTTAATCAGTGAAAACGATTGCATTTGCCTGGTAGAATTGTTATGTCTACGACTCTACCGAGTACAGATGGGTACATCTGTTACTGATATCTCTTTGATGTAGAAGCATAGGGAATTTATTATTATTGTCAAAATCATTCTAATTATTTTTTGTTTATCAAACATTAATGGTAAGTTTATATTTTGTTCTCACATTAGAACTTTTTTGGGTTTTGTACATATTTTGTTAAAACATGTTTGTCAAAACATCAAACCTACAGTTTTGACGCGAATAAAACATACCGTAATAAATGGTGTAACGAAAATGCTAATTATATACCGATTCTATGCCAGGAATAATTTTTACAAATTATAACTTCACTAAATATGAACTAATTGAGTGCTAAGCTAAGTATGTGGTGCACGATTCCCTGATTCACGATTTTGAACTTCAGTTTTTACGCTCAAATCGTAAGTTTCCAAATGGATCGCAATGTGTGACTTGTGAGGTAAAACTATATATAGCCACCGTCCATATTTAAGCAAGAAATGTCAAACACCTCAAGGGCACAAATCTTTAGGAACACTAAACAGGAGAATTTGATCCAATGACTGTTATAGTCAATAACGACAACGCAATTATTGTTAAATGTGATAAAAGAATAAAATGGCAGACGAAAAAAAAAGAGAAAACAAGATGGTCAATGGAGATAGAGACCCATTAATATATAAATCTCTCCTTTTAAAAGTTCTTTTATCAGCTATTAAAATTACCACAAATGCCTCATCGAGAACGCCCCAAACTAACGTCATTTCCTTTATCCATTAAGCCATTTAAGCTGCTGAAGTATTTAAACCCTACAGAATGACGCACCAAAGTTTTAGTAAATACATGTACCATGACGTTAACCACTTACGGAGCAAACATATGCCAACTACTAACACGCCCCTCAATTATTTAGGAGATGAAATAATTACAGAGCATTGAAGAGGTAAGCTTACATCTCAAAGATATATTCATTAAAAATTGTCTGCATCTGAAAAATTTTTCCCAAAACTACTAGTACTACAATGATCAAGAACTCGCTATTGTACAATATTGTTGAAATAATCAATCTTTTGCCAAACCTTTCCTGTTCGCCAATATAACCACAAATGCATAGGTAAGTCTATAAAGTACATGGCAAAAAACGGGAAGGGATCAGATGCCTTGAATAAAATGTCTGTATGCGGAATGTTTGAGATCAAATTAAAAATACAAGATATGAGTCTGTGTGGTTTCCTAAACCCGGTGATGAGGTCTTGTGCGGAGCATCTTATCTGTGCCTCCTCTTCTGCTCTCACTGCCTCTACTTGTTCTCTTCCTCTCGTTGTCAGTTCTATTCCCTGCACATTTTTATTATTATTATTATAATACATTTTTATAGGTTAAGAAAATATGTTCAGCTCATTGAAGAGCAAACAAACGGTAAATACTTTAGGCCGTATCGTTATTTTCTGCTCTAGATTTCGGTTTAAAAATCAGAATAAGAATCGCGCATAATTTGTCCAAATTGTTTTATCCCCAGTTTTACTCTTGATATTGTCAGGTGATGTTCTGATCTTGTTCTCGATTGGTCTAGTTTCTTAAACAAAATTGAGAAAATTGTTTCGTTAAAAAGGGCAAAGATAAATCTAGAAACTGTGGTCATACCTCTACAATGTCATTAGATACGTCTTGCATGAGGGCGAAGGAGTCCGTGATCCAAGGTTTGCAGTTGATCGGATACCACTCTCCATCCTCCTTACTCTGAGTATTTTAGTGCTATAATACTTTTATATAGTGATTTTAGTGATTGATAAGTGGTTTATTTTATATTGATGAACCTTATATAAATGCTTGTCGAATGCCATCAGTTTGAAACCTAACTGAGATAATTTGATGTACCTTCATGAAATCAAATGAAAGCCAACCCTCGATATCCACATTGTATCTCTCGACGAATATATCGGACCATTCAGTAATCCTCTGGACTGTGTTCCTATCTGATACGGTGCTGATGACGTCGTGCTCACGCCTGCTCACAGCCTGTCGTTGTGTTTATTATATATACAGGGTGGGCCTCAAAAGTCTACCCATCCTTATCTCTTAAAATTGTAACAGGTCGTTGAGATCTTGATAATTATTTTAAAAACAAAAAGTGGCATAACTTATGTTCTGATAAATATTTTTGCTTCTAAATTTCACAGAATGTTAATAACAAGTAGCTAAACCTTTGTGGCAAGTTTTGTGTAAGTGCGAGCTTCACTGCGCTTATTTGACCAATTTAGCCCCTGAGCGAGCTAGCTTGAATTTCTCACCCAGAACTGTTTACATACGTTAATAGGAACCACCAAAAAAAATCCTGGGTAAAACAATCAAAAAACCAGCGATTTATTCACGTTTTACCAATTCTATTCACCATGATCCATCGGACATTCCATTCTCTCTATATTTTAACTGATAAGGACTATCACAGATGATCCTTCCTGCTTGTTTATATCGTTCTTCTCTCATGGAATGTGCGATGCATCATGGTGAATAGAATTGGTGAAACATAAATAAATCGTTGGTTTTTTAATTTTTTTACCCAGGATTTTTTTGGTGGTTCCTATTAACCAATGTAAACAGTTCTGGGTGAGAAATTAAAGCTAGCACGCTCAGGAGCTAACTTTATCAGACAAGCTCAGACTCACACAAAACTTGGCACGAAGTTGTGTCTAATTATGATTGACATTCTCTAAAAATTTGAAGCAAAAATATTAATCAGAACGTAAGTTATGGCGCTTTTCCGTCCTGAAATAAAATAATTAGCAAGATCTCAGCGACCTGTTACAATTTTAAGAGATAAGGATGGGTAGACTTTTGAGGCCCACCCTGTACATATAATTAAATAAATAATATTAAATAGAAAATATATTATAGTTAGTGAGATTACACGCTAGATCGAGAAGCTGGATTTGTGTGAACAAAATCATTATTGATTATCGACTAGAAACTGTAACTGTAGGATTCGAACTACTCAAAGTGGGACCTAACAGTCTGTGAGGGAACTTATTTGACAACTATTAAGAAATAATGGGACATTTAGTACAATAGTAGCAAGACATTTATCAAAATAAAAATTATGATAAACTGTTATTAAAATAATGAATTAATGCAACTAACATGAGCAATAGCCCTTCTGTTTGCATAAAGAGAACAAAGGGACACCACAGGTTCCTCGAACTTTTCCACTCTGAGAACGGGAGTGTGACTCGTCACGTGCTGAACCAATGTGCTCACCTGCCGGAAACAAATTACTTTATAATGAAATAGTTTTAAGCAGAAAAAAAAAAAACAATTTAAAATCTATTTAAAATCTATTTAATTTTCGGGAAAAAATAAACTCTTTGCTCACGTCTTTTGGAGATTTAGGCGTTTCTATCAGTTTGGCTCCCCACACATTTTTCTGGTAGACTCTGTATACAAAAGGGTGATCTTCAATGCTGAACCCTCTTGTCTCTATCTTTGCTCTTTCGCCTATCAACTGTTGGAGAATGAAAAACGTTCAAGAAACGGATAGTAAATGGATCAACCATAAGTCCATAATGAAGAAGTGTATTGATGCTTGTAAGCTTGTAATTAATCATCCATTTGTTATTTCAATCCTTCAGGTTAAAACCTGAACTATGAACAGCTGCAACATACCTTGTAAATGGGAGTTTTGCAGTTAGAGTCCGAAGCTCGGGAATAAAATGTATTAACATCTGTCAGTTTCAGGACCTCTATAGGTTCCATACTAAGTAGGTCTACCATATCCTTAACTTTCTCTATCGCCTGAAGGCATTGCTGATCAGTACTACAAGATTCTGGTGGAATTAATTTGACAGACTCTAGCTTCTAAGGAAACAATTTTGTCTGAGTTTAAGGGTTATTTTTGGGTAGGGTTAATAATTCAAAAGTAATCCATGAACCTTGACTTCGCGTGCGGTATACCTATCACCTGGTACATGGTCTATAGATATTCTTCGACTTCGCGTGTGGTATCAGGTATGCCTGGCATCCCGAGTTTTGGAAAGCGGTTAAATATTTTTGTAAGGCTAGGTTATTTAATTTCAGCTCTTAAACCTTTAAACCATTCAAAAGCAACCCATGAACCATGGCTTGGCGTGCGGTAAACCTGGTACAGGGCTCAATAGATATTCAAATTTAATATCTAAAACTTACAGAGTTACAGAGCCCTATACCAGCTATACCGCACGCGAAGTCCGGGTTCATTGGTCGTTTTTGAATGGTTGAATAACCTTATAAAGCATTTAACCGCTTTCCAAATAAAAACCAGCACGCGAGGATTCTGCCATTTCAGCACGAAGCATTAAAGGACGCTATCTCTATTCTCTAGGGTAAAATAAAAAATAATGCAAAACTCATAAGCTTATAAATTATATCTCTGGTAGGGGCTATTTTTGGGTAGGTCGAATATCTATTGAGCCCTGTACCAGGCATACCGCACGCGAAGCCATAGTTCATGGATTGCTTTTGAACGGCTTACGGGTTTAAGAGTTAATTAAAACATTTAACCGCTTTGCAAAACTCGAGATACCAGGCATACCACACGCGAAGTGAGGATCTCTGTCTTGCTGCCATGATCTTGAGCACGGAGTAGCAGAAAACTCTATCTCTAGGATACAAAGAAAACAGAACTCCTATCTCTGGTATCTTATGAGGACCAATAACCATCAAAAGGTGAGTCAACACTGTTGAATTCACCTCTGATGGTGCTAGTAGGAAACTACCTGATATATATCTGGTTTTCTAATATATAGTATTAGCAAAATGTTTGTAGATCTTATCAGGAAATTTGTGTAATATGCCCGGTCAATATGTACCGCGTAGGATCCTTGGGTTCGGAGCCCAAAGTTCAAAAGTAGGTGCTGGGACCTGATGCTGGACCATGTTTATGTCAAATTAAACAAATATTTGGTAACCCCTAAGTTCCACGGCCAAATAATACAGTAAAATAATTTGGGCAAATTTTATTTGTGAAATAAAATTATACGGGTGACCTGTTCAATGCCCAAAAAGTAGGTGCTGGGACCTGATGCGGGACCATGTTTATGTCAAATTAAACAACTATTTGGTAAGTAGTTATAGGATCAGCCATTTTGATTTGATTAGCCTGGCTCTCAATTTTATTTCTCAATTTTATTTCTCAATACTCTAAATGCAGACAATCTACCGAGAAAGAACAAGTCAGCTACGTCAATCGTCCTAACCGATTCGGAACATAAGGACTTGCCTAAAATAACTGGACGATACTTGCTATTAGTAAGTTTACTAAGTTTACTATTACTGAGTTATTATCGTATCCCTGCTATTACTACCCTCTCTGCACAAGTAAATTGAGCTTCGTGATAGGTTTACTAATCGAGTTTATTTCTAAAATTAAGGTGTTTAAAGAAAGCTATTTGGCTTCGATGTTCCTTAAATATCCTCATTATTGCGATCTTATTCCAGTACTCTTGTAATATGTGAGCAGTATCAGAAGCTATTAACTCATTACTTCTCATTACCAGCTGAATTTAGTGCCTCGTTTGACGTCAGGTAATGGTTTATGGACGGGAAATTGCTCTCCGCGATTTTTCAGTTCATACTTCAGGGTAGCAAATAAATGTGATATAAACTGTTCTAGTAAGAGTGACGCCAATGGCACAATTATTTCAAGACTGGTGCTTACCTATACAGTTTAGATGTTTTACCTACTAAACAGTACAGTTTAGATATTTGGAATTTGATTTAATTTAGAGTTAGAAATAATGGCTGTGTTTAAATGGCAGTATAGTGTATAAACAGATTGGTAACTAACCGGTTCCCAGTCGTTCACTGACCGGTTACTAACTGGTCACCAAACGGTTACTAACTGGTCACCAAACGGTCACTAACCTGCTGGTCCTCGGAGCTGGTGAACCTGTTGAGGGGTATGAGCATGTTTGGTTTCAGGTCCAGTAGTATACCCCACAACGCCTCCACATAGACGTCAGGTCCTGCTCCTACAGGAGGCTGAGAGGGTGTGTCGTTAGTAGTATATGATGCATTTTTCAGTTGCCATTTTGAAAAAAGTGAGGCACACGTAATGAATCAAGCGTGTTACGGCGGCACCCTTTAATTAGTGTGATATCATGTTCCATGTGGAAGCTATATTTGATGTAACTTGATTATAGACGTCAGGTCCTGCTTCTACAGGGGGCTGAGAGGGTGTGTCGTTAAGTGGGAACTCCCTTTTTTAGTCTTAATATATCTTGTTGTCGACTATTCACAAGTCATCTAATGATGATAACTATGATATAACTAAATCATTCCTTTAGGAAAGTTCCTAAATTCTACTAAGCCACTACTAAACTTACATCAAGAGGATCGGGAAGCCAGTAGAACTTGTCACAAGCTCTGGACCAAGCCAGCGGAGCACACATGTACCTCCTACTCTCCAGACCTATCACCGTGTACCCCATTCTTCTGAAACGTTATCGTTCAATTCACGTGATGCCTATATAAGGAGTGTATACTACACGTGATGCACATATAAGGACACCACACATGTACCTCCTACTCTCCAGACCTATCACCGTGTACCCCATTCTTCTGAAACGTTATCGTTCATGTGAATTTTATGCCAGATATATCAAAAAATAAACTTGATTTAAATCGATGACAATACCAATGGCAGACTTGGGGAACTAACTTTCGTTTCGATTAATTTGTAATTAATCGGAATTTTGATGTTGCACGAAATTTCCATAAAACTCGAACCAATTTTTAAAGAAAATTGCATAATGATTGTTTTTATTAATTTAAATTTTGTTAATTTTCAATCAAATTGATAATGATTGTTTGTTAACAGTTTCTTTTAAGATGATATTGCACCGGTTTTGCACAGGTTTTGATGATATTGCACAGGTTTTGAAGTTCTGGCCGTTGTCTTGTTGAAACTGAATTTGTTCAGCACCATGTTTGTTACTAGCAGTTTGCTGAGGATAACTGTCCTACCAGCTCTTCTCTGCTAAAGTTACCACTGAAGTCACTCAACCCATAGTTCATTATCGACACAACCATTTAATTAAGGACAAGACGTGTTCTATCATTCTGCAGCTTAAGTAAATTGACTTCATAGGTGGGACAGCTTAAGTCACTTGACTTCATAGGTGGGACAGCTTTTATAATTCTTGAGAAGAGTTTTCTTCGAAGAGAATCGATCATTTTGTTAACGAATGGAAGTGGTAGCCGTCTTGTAATATTAACAAATGGGTCTCCCGGCTCAATCCCTGTCTTCTTTTGTATACGTCTTCATCCTTGCAGTAATTAACTTGTCCATACAATAATGACGCTGTAGTTATTGGATTCTACGATGCATCATCAAACAGTGACATGAGTAATCAAATTTCGTAATCAAAATGTCATGAAATGGTAGTATTCTTCACAGAAGCGATTGTAACCATGGTAACCATGGTGCCAGAAGTTAAGGAAGTAAAGAATGAGGTCTCTCTTCAATTCTAAGAACTTAATAGTTATTGAATACATATATATTTGATGACAGCTAACTTAATGAAGAAAGCTGCTTGTAAGCAAAAATTCAAATCTTTACAGTTTACTGGTAAGTGGTACTCAAATATACAAATTAAAGATGTTGAGTCTGAGGTTTCGGTTTCAAAGTCCAACTTAAGTACTCAACTCAAGTTGAAACCTCAACACCTATAACTCCACATTTTTGTATGTTTTTTCCAGAAAACAGGACAATATGAGCGGCAAACGATCTGGTGAGATTCGAAAACCAGACAACAGTCCGAGTGTAAGGACAGCTTTTTTCTATTTTGAGAATAGTGACAAGATTAACATTTTAATAAATGTGTCACGAAATATTTATTTTCTCCCCAAAAGCGCAACCATGGTGCCAGAAATTTAGATTTTAAATTTGTATTTGTAAACCTACATTTACCCCGAATATGCCAAATGGCGAATAGTACTGCGATGTTTAGTTGTAAAAGAGGCAGCCATTTTAAAATTACATGACCTCCTACATTTAATCACTATCGCAGTACCACTGTGAGAATCCATCATAATATGTCAAACTTGAAGAATGAAGGCCCTTTAGTTATTAGTAGAGATGCCAAAAGAAGCATCTGTCGAGAAAAATTGTTAAGTCTATTGGAGAGCTAGTCTGTCGGGAATCTATTTACCTTTTTACCTTACCCCTCATGGGCCCTGACTTTCTCAGTAATCCTGTACTTGGCAACAATCCCGCACACATTGGGACGTCCGGTAAGTTTCTCAACGTAATTCGACTTATTAAACCCTAAATAACACAATTGACTCGGGTGCACTTTTTTCACCAGTGGTGCATTTCTCGGAATCACACCCTTTTTGATCGCGACCATATCGCGACCCCCACTATAAATTATATCAGCTTCTGATTGAGATACAGACCTCATACATACACAAATATGTGCCTAAGATGCATGTTTATATTAGTGATATGAACTAAGAGACTCGGTTTTTGAGAAATCGCCAAAAATCCGATTTTACTATATTAGCAGTCCCACCAGTAACAATTATCACACTTATTTTACACAAGAAGTAAAATATTTAGTTAGGGGAATAATAGGATAAGCATTAAGCTGTGAATTATCATTAGCTGCTCGAGACGCTGTTTTATAGACATTAGATAAATTGTGAAACGGTTGCACAAAATTGTGAAATTGCAATTTTTGCCCTAATTCCTACCTTTCAAGAATTTAAATTTCTTGGCACCTCAATCATAAAATTTGATTATTTTGACACATCGATTATATGTATAACCATATAATTCGTATGATATATAAAAGGACTAAACATCAAGTCTGCATTTACACTACCACTTCCACGCTCCAATCTGTCATATTGCGCCGCTGACACTTGTTGTCTCTGGGATTCATTTTTATTTTTGATTAAAAAATATTAATGGAAGTGGTAGTGTAAATGCAGACTAGATGTCATTTTAGATACTATACGAATTATATGGTTTTATAATCGATGTGTCAAAAATAACCAAATTTTATGATTTTATTGAGGTGCCAAGAAATTTTAATTCTTGAAAGGTAACAATTTATAATCTGGTCCGTGAGATCACAAGATGGAGGGTTGCACAATGACCGCATTGTCCATATTATGGTTACCTGGGAAACCCAGGCTGATAGTGTTCATAAACATGTTTAAAACATCACTAAAATAGCTGTCTCCGAACTCCGAAGGTCCATTTCGCTAACTTTTCATCAGAACACATTAAAGGATCAAAGACTTCCTGATAGATGCAAAATGGTAAATGAGCTATAAAGCAGCAAATGAACAAATGTCCTAAAATGCTTGGCCAAAACATTATTTTGACTTCTACAAATCAAGCAAATTTACAAGCGCTTGTTATTTCGGAATGTGAAGCTCCTATTGGCCTTTAAATATGTGCAACCGTTTCACAATTGCCATAATATCTACGTTACAGCGTTGGACAGCTTGGCAGATACCTGAAAATGGCAAATTGCTGGTTTCTAACGTCTAGATATCACATTGTTTCAAATCGTTGTTGCTTCTGAATGAGTACGGAAGCCAGACTAAAACTTGAAGAGGCTGAGAAAGGCTTTTTGTAAATCAATTCGAGCACTCAAGCACCCGCACATGAATAGAGCATAGAGCATAGAGCATGTGTTGGTTTTTTAACGAATCTTTCAAAACTGAGTTATGACTTTTAAAATTAGGGCGTATGAGCACCCTGATAAAAATTGTTTAGAAATGTTTCCCTATCAGTTTCAGTATGACTTTTTGGGATGGTTTCTGTGACAACACATTCCTGAATAGAAACCTTTGTTACGAATTTATTCACAATTTATCCCATTCTTTTCCTAACTAAATATTTGACTTCTTTTGTGTTTACCGAAGACTTCTTTCACTGGGCCCCCACCCCAGAGAAGCCCAAGTAATCCCCAGGATTGACAGGGACTTTGAAGCTGGGCCTACCCCAATGAGATAAAGGGCCTGACAAGCGGCCATGACAGTATGTCTAGGACCTAGGATGTTATTCAAATTTTTGCACCTGACGGATCGATCAGAACGTCCCACGAACTTCTAGTTCTTTTATAATGAAATCTTTGAATTGTTGACATGAGTTGTCTCCAAAGATTGCTCGGTGGCCAGCTTTTATTGGTCAAGCTAGACCATTTCAGCAGTGTAGAAGTTAAATCAATGTTTATTGACAGGTTCCAGATGTCAGATTAACGTGAGGTGCAGACTAGAGGAGGTGACGAATACATTACACCATTTATATCGTCCAGTGAGAGGTTTCAACGAACGATTATAATAGACGTTCATCTTCAGACTTAAACAGCTTGATGCCCTTGTTCGGTTCCTATTAGGAACTCGATCATACCAGAAAGTTATTAATGAGTTTTATCAAGGCGTGCCGCGTGGTGGTTGCTTTGCATGAGTTTGATGCAAGAACATTTATTTTGTATTATTGATAGAGCGTCCATGCACAGTGCACATATTTTCAATAGTCTAAAAAACATGCGTATTTGTCCTTTCTTCTAGTTCTGTTTCTTTTAATGATCGTACTGGGAGTACGAATGCGATCTTGACATTGGTCTCCAAAATCTATTTTCAAGCCCGGTTGATTAAACTTTCAAAATTTCAAACGAAAGCCTAGCCTAGCTCTGATATATTAGTTATGTTACGGCAAATTATTAACTCAATTATTGGATATAAAAACAAGCTATAAGTTTCTAATTTGCCAACCTGAAATGCCTGGCTAGGTGAACTGCTAGAGGAGAGCGGGAGCCGATGATGGCTATTGAGTACTCAGAGTACACCTGACTCCAGTAGCCACAGCTGAGAACTTTGCAGAGCATACAGAAAATCCAAACCGGTACAAACAGGACCATCGTCTGAAGAGACAGTGTTTTATTCAATCTTAGGGTGGCATTTTTTAAATCTAAGGAGAGTATTGAAAAGATGAGTATTTATTGATTATGAAACATTGTCGATCAGTTTTCTGGAAATGTTTCCAAAAATTACATCGGTTCATTAGATTAGTTATAATTATATTATGTAGCAGAAATTTTGCTTAAAGCAGCAAATCCAGTAAACCGAATAAATCCTTGCAAGTAAAAAAATGAATCACTATGAAAGTTTATTCCGATTCGGCGGACACAATTCACGGTGCTAAAAGTATATTGAATTTGGCTTCAAATTATAATTCACAAAATATTCAGCTGTACAACTGATACTATTACTAACCGTAAGAATGAAGTGAAGTGTTTTAACAGTAAACTTGAAAGACTGGAATCTAGTGTGACTTTTCTTGTTGTATGAGTCGTCAGTCATAACAGCTTTTGCTGCAGCTTGCAACTTCGTCTTGTTGATCGTTAGTGTCGGATTGGATCCCGTCCTGGATGGACGCCTTTGCTTTTGAACCTTGTTCATGACCTGTCCCAGATCTGAAAGAGAAAGTTACAATGTCTAATGACTTCCTTCGGATTGACAGTGGTCATTGATTACAGTGGTTATCGTTATTGGACGGAGTCCTTCAAAGAAGTGATGTCGTCGACAATCAGTAATCCTAGATGTATATTCTAAGAGTTCTAATCCTCTTCATAGTGACGTTCCTTTTGTATATGAAGATATTTCGTTCAAGAATCAAGCCACATAGATTTCGTAAGTCGTAAAGCCGAGCATGAGTTTTTAATAATAACATTGACACTGTGGACTCACTGTAGAGTTCAGATGGGAGCATCATGGCTCTCTACATACAAAGTGAAACAAGCCAAATGACAGGTGAAAACGAAATGAAATAATCAATGTTTCGGTACTCATTGGCCTTGTACTAAGATAATACTGATTATGAATTACAATGGTCGCGCTTAAGTAGGCGTGCCCAATCATATGAACTAAAACAAGTAAGGTAGACCTCAACTTGCCTAAACATACACGGCAGTTTAAAATAATATGCTGCTCTAAAAATAATACATCCTGTATAATTACTATAATTGAGCTCGCCTACTTAAGTGAGACTTATAATCAGTAATCTTAGTAAAAGGCCAATGAGTACCGAAACGTCAATTATTTCATTTTGTTTTCGCCGGTCATTTTCCTTGTTTCTCTTTGTCTGTCGAGAGCCGTGATGCTCCTTATTGAACTCTACAAACGTCCAAGCCAGACAATAGGATCGTATTTTGTCTGTGCTCCTTGTAAACTTCCCTTTGTATCTTGCTATCATAAATAAGGTCTTGCTCAATAATTGTACGGCTTATATTCACAGATGTTGTCTAGTGTCTGCTAAATAAATCGTTTGCTCGCATGATTGCATTTTAGACGTGACAATCTGTAGTTTACAAGATTCAGCATTCAACTGTGCTAAAAACTATGGCATCAGTATTTTTTACACGGACGTGATCATTTTATGGCAAATGTCGGTTTTAATTGCAAACATGTTATATCCTATTTGAGAGTTTCTGGGACCTTCTTAACCCAACATATCACAAAGGCAGAATTATTTTTCCGTCAATAAGTGGAAAAGTAATTATGTGGGCTTATAGTTGCTATACTATAATATTTACTATATAGTTGCGGTTATTTAACACTTATCTATATTCTATAAGCTTGTACTACCAGTACCTTCCTATCAAAATTTGGAAAAATTGGGCCAAGAATTTGTGCAACAAAATTAAAAATATCTCTATTGCTCTATTGGTGATGGTCAGATCACTTCCAAACCTAACACAGCCATATCATGACTAATATGGCCATTTCACACACTTATGTGATCTAACACGGTCCCTATAGTAACACCACAAAAACGTTTCTATCACAATTCCCTCTGAAAATTATGTTTATTTCTATTTTATACTTGGAGAGTGGAGATTCCATAAAGTACATATAGTGTGCGAAATAACCACAGTGGTCACGAAATGTAATGTAATGTTACGGGGTTGGAAAAGATCTGATTATAACGAATCGAAATGTATCAATTTTTGGAAAAATTAAAAAATTAAAAATTCTTAGGTGTGCAAATTAAAATAAATTTGGCACACATGCATGTAAAAAACCCAATGCCGTAGATTTTTGTACAGTTGGACCACTGGTTAACACACCTAGAAATGAAATTATGCGATTAAACGATTTATTTAACTAGTAATTTCCAGAACATATCTATGAAGACAGGCACGGTGCGGTGATCTTATTGGATTAGGTATTAAACAGGAATCTGTGTATCCGCGGTTATTTACACGTGATGCCCATATAAGGGAATCTGTGTATCAGTTGCGCAATAAAAAGATGAAGCTTTTTCTTACACCGGTATTAGAACCTCAAAACCTGTCTCTATTTGGTAATTAATGTTAAATGATGAGTGATGCGGTTTTGACGACAGTTCTGGGAAGTAAGCGATCTGGTCACTTCATCTAATTATCAGCCATGTGGATGAGCGAGTTTTAAAACCTGACAACATTCACTGTAATGTCTGGGGCGCTAATCTCAGAATGCATACTGAGAATTGAGATTAACGTCTCAGACAGCACTTGCAGTTCCACCTATCGTAGATTGAGACACAAGTGACAGCTGGGTTGATACCTTGGGTGCGTCTGACGTTTGGATCATAATATTAATAATAACTGTAATAACATAATGTTTTCATGGTTGTCATGGTTTCCCCTCATGTTGTCAGTTTCCGGTATGAGTATGACAAGTGTTTACGGGGGTGGTCAATTGGAATATGGGTGTGAGCTGCACTGCGACAGGATGTTCTGTATCGAGCATGCTTCAGCAGGATTTTAGGCCATATTGGGATCACGAAGTGGGGCCACAAGTTTGGATCTGTCATACAAGAAAATGTTAATTTTATTGTTATATTTGTTATTATAATATCCTCCAGCTAAATGACAAGGGGAAATAAACAATGTCTCTGAGATTAATAACGATACTTAACAATCCTTTTAAAGGATTTTACCAACACACGAATCTCAATAAAATGTCAAAAAGAAGGAAATTAACGATTTGTAATTAATCTGAAGCTTAAAACACTATTATGCACACAGTATGTGAATGTCCCAACTTCTTTAACGCACACAATTAGCTTTGTCTCGGTCGGCCTAATTCTGTTCTACCATGCATTGGTTGTATAGCTCAGGATGTCTACCTCGCTATTTTTAATCTTTGTATTTTTTTATAGCTTCGTGTAAAATCCGGATTGGAATATTATTTATGAGTCGCATAGTTGAAATGTTTTCTTGGGTAAATTTCTATTGATCCCGTTTGATAAGGAAAAGGCTCCTTTCCTGATAAGAGCATTTCCCTTGTCGCACCAAACGGGATCAATAGAAATTTACCCAAGAAAATATTTTTGATAGCCTTGCAGGTAACTATGTTACTTTGCTGATCTTGTCCTTCCTTATACAATGTTTTCTTGAGCCTTAGGCCTCTCGGAAAGTTTATGGTTTTATTTTGAATCAAGTGATTTCGCCCCTAAACACCTTGCTGTTGTCATGTTACTTGTCAAAGTTGACAGATCTAAAAATATCGGTTGCTTAACAATTTCATTACCGAATTTGCAATATTAGTAACAAATTCTCAAGCAAGATTTATTATTAAACCTGTCAATATTAAAACTGACAAGTCGCCACAACAGGTTCATGGGTGCGTTTACCGCCGTAATATTATCAGATTTTGAGACGTAAAACTTAGCGGTAATACTAATACGCAACATGACATTGTAGCATTGTGGAGAATGGAGATTACATCCTCTGATTCATAACCTACAGTTCAGTCAGTGCATTGTGCAACATAGGCTATAAGTGGAGTAATGACGAAATGACTAATGAGCTAACTAGATACCAGTTTGATAGAGTCATGAGTATAACTTACACGAGTTCTGGTGCTGAAGATACTCATTGGTCACGCAGTTCATGGTTGTAGCTGAACCCGGGTTCGCTAATACTTGTCAATCCTTCACCGTCACAAGTTACATGATCTGCGTCAATAATTTAATTTCAACAATCAATTCTCAAGAAAGCGTGAGGTCACCCACGTCAAATAAACTGAAAACCTAATTGACGCTAAATGATCGAATATAGAAACTGAAAGTGCTCTTCAAGGAAGATGTACTGTTCCCGCTTGCTTGACGCACGAAACGTGGCGCAGGTCCCGGGGTCCCGTGACCGCCATACAATAGAAGTGAACAATAAAGCAAGGCTCTGAACGTGAAATGTCCTAAAACAAAGCATCTCAGTTTCCGGAGCTGGCTGCTTACTACATACTAAGTACCGGGATGACTTACTAACTTGTACTGTGTCCAGGTACGGTTCTGGGGCTAATGGGGTAATACGATAATTGCTGTGAGGATTACTGTTACAAGTACAACATGTTTTATTTACTTTGCAGGGAGCGCCAACATGCAACGTTACGCCACTGCAGGGGAGAGCTAGACGTGGAGGTATGATGCAGTACCTTTGAGTGGGGACAGAGTGGCCAGGATTACTAATACTATTATACAACATGTATTTTTGTCGGCCGGGTGGTGTTTAAGTAACTATAAGTGGTTATAATACATTTGCTTTCCACGCAGACAGCAGGGGTTCGATTTCCAGTGGGACCGATTCGGTCGAATGCAGGTCGGCCACCAAACAATAGCATGAATGGTAAATGCTCTTATTAGAGATTAAAAAATAGCACAAGTGCATACGGATTTGGAGTGGAGCTCGCATATGCTTCAGTGAAAGCTATACCTAAATGGCACTCCATTAGACAGGGAAATCGGCTCCTCGATTGCGGTCGCCCAAATTATTAAGTATTATTTAATACTCTAGTAGCAGGGAATAGTTGAGTGTGCACTTCGATGTACACGATTTCTGACAACACAGGGTTGTTTGTTAGATCATTCTTAACCAAAATCGTTTAGGTACGCAATTTGTGTCGCTAGACATAACCCTACAGGGCAACTTTTCTAAATTACCCTCAGTCGCGCATACGGGATTTTTGTATTTCAGCTCCTGAAGGTCATAGAGACTTCAATTTTAGCTTAAAATTACCGCAATGGCCATATTTATATACAAGTTATGAAGCAACATAAGGTCTCCAGTGCTTTGTTTTATAGATATTGACAAAAAACTGTTTTTTGGCTCAGCGAACCAAAAATGGGACTGAATTTTGGTAACTTGAACTAGGAAGATCGTAGAGACTTGAATTTTAGCTTAAAATGAGCGCAAACATCACATTTATATACAACTTATAAAGCAATATAAGCCCTTTAATGCTTATTTGTTAAGATATTGACAAAAATCGGTCATTTTGGCTACACGCGTGAGGAAAAATACCAAATTGGGCAACAACTTTGGTCTTTTTTTGACCAGTTTTGTGCTCAAGTTATTAAAATGTGCTTTGATGTTGTAGATCGGGTGTTTTCTTCCAATATGGGTTTCGGTATAAATCCGGAAGCACCCGGTTCATGGGTGATAAGGGTTAAAAACCCTAAAATGTCAGGCAATGGGCGAGACAATTGTCTGAATTTGGTTATAAAAACACTTGCACTCTTTGCTAGGGTTTGCTTTTTTCTGCTACATTGATCCGATTTCTAACTACTAATCATCCCCCTCTACATCATTCTCTTTTAGATACATGATTTCTATAAGTTCTTAAAGGTACATCCGGCATGATGTAAAGTCTATATCAAAGCATTTTAATGTGGTCTTAACAAGTTGCAAGATATTCAAGTTCGCTAATAAACAAAGATTGTAGGTTATCGTTCTTTTACATATCGAGTAATTTTGGCTACACATTTGAGGAAAGATACCAAATCGGTTTACCAAACGAAGATTGTAGGTTATCTATTATTCTTTACATGATTATTGACGCAACTTCATAGTCAAAGCTGTATTATTTTTAATATTTAATATTTATCCACACTCTCCATAAGAATATTATTGGGAGTCATTTTTGTGGTTAAAATTCGATTAAATCAGTATTTCTAAGCAAAAAACTGTCCCAAATTTCTCCTCCGAATATGGTCCGCTAGTTCGAAATTTTAGCACTTATAAACGTTATTGTTAGACATTACATTAACTAGTGTAATACCACTGAGACCAGATGTAGTGATCTATTCAGATAAAGCGAAGAATGTGCATCTGAATGAAGAGAAATTTTCTGATCAAGAGAAAAGAATATGAAGAGATATCAGCAATTGACAGAAGAGATTGCAAGCTCCAGACAGTATCAGTTCGAGGCATTTACAACTGCATCCTCCAAACATTTATGAACCACTGCACCTGATCGTAAACACTTAAGAGAAAAAGGCCTGCATGAAGATCGCTGAAATTAGCATGAGGGCATCATACACCATCTATCTGTCCAGAAACACCATTATATGGACAGATGATTGGGAGTTAGTCCAGAGGCTAGTAATTGCATAGTAGGAGCGTATAATGTTTGTAGAATGTAATTATTTTTACAAACTACCGTTCAAAATTTACAGATCAAGTGATTGCCTACCCACAATTATATTACAACGTCGTGGGGTCAGTTGATATTGTTGCTAAAAATCAGGAGCAAGCGTCTTGAAACAGGATACCATGAATCTGTATAAGTTTTAAGTAGTTTCATTCTACGTTTAATATTATTATTGGGTCGTTTACGTTAAAGTTATATTTGGCCATTTTATAGCCTCCCCCTCAAAAAGCCCACAATTGCTCAATATTATGTAAAAGAAGGATAGATAACCTACAATCTTTATTTTATTAGTGAACTTGAATATCTTGCAACTTGTTAAGACCACATTAAAATGCTTTGATATAGACTTTACATCATGCCGGATGTACCTTTAAGAACTTATAGAAATCATGTATCTAAAAGAGAATGATGTAGTGGGGGATGATTAGTAGTTAGAAATCGGATCAATGTAGCAGAAAAAAGCAAACCCTAGCAAAGAGTGCAAGTGTTTTTATAACCAAATTCAGACAATTGTCTCGCCCATCGCCTGACATTTTAGGGTTTTTAACCCCTATTACCATGAACCGGGTGCTTCCGGATTTATACCGAAACCCATATTGGAAGAAAACACCCGATCTACAACATCAAAGCACATTTTAATAACTTGAGCACAAAACTGGTCAAAAAAAGACCAAAGTTGTTGCCCAATTTGGTATTTTTCCTCACGCGTGTAGACAAAATGACCGATTTTTGTCAATATCTTAACAAATAAGCATTAAAGGGCTTATATTGCTTTATAAGTTGTATATAAATGTGATGTTTGCGCTCATTTTAAGCTAAAATTCAAGTCTCTACGATCTTCCTAGTTCAAGTTACCAAAATTCAGTCCCATTTTTGGTTCGCTGAGCCAAAAAACAGTTTTTTGTCAATATCTATAAAACAAAGCACTGGAGACCTTATGTTGCTTCATAACTTGTATATAAATATGGCCATTGCGGTAATTTTAAGCTAAAATTGAAGTCTCTATGACCTTCAGGAGCTGAAATACAAAAATCCCGTATACGCGACTGAGGGTAATTTAGAAAAGTTGCCCTGTAGGGTTATGTCTAGCGACACAAATTGCGTACCTAAACGATTTTGGTTAAGAATGATCTAACAAACAACCCTGTGTTGTCAGAAATCGTGTACATCGAAGTGCACACTCAACTATTCCCTGCTACTGGAGTATAAGGGAGAGCTTCAATTGGAGTTACGAGGCGCTCGAGTGAGGATAAAGATAAAGTAAGTTCAATTTATTCTAACCTTGGTTGGTTGTTGCCATTTTGTAAAGGAATGTCTGCTCCCCGGTGCTCTTTCAGTCGACAAAGATGTCAAACAACTGAGCGCCAGGATGCAGGGCAAATTATTCTTTGTTTAAAATTAGGAATTACAATTACTCGGAAATTCCCCGTCCACATCATAGAACCGAGACGTCAGTCTAAGATTTGGGTAGGTCCAGGATTAGAAAGGCAAAATGTTTTATGAGCACAATGGCCGAGTCTTGAAATTGTTCTCTTTAACTGGCTCCCAACAAAACAAGGTCCTGGATCCTCTTATCTTAACTGCGAGTAATTCCTTTGTTAACGCGAAGTACGAGGCAAACAGTCGAATAGCTGGCCAAGGCAAGCTGCGTTATCCACCCCTAATTGTTTAAGTAGGGAGTTTATTTCTCTGTCTCATGCTAGGATTGCTTCTGAGATTGCCTCTAAATTGGATTCAGGCCAATTTCCGGTTGGATATTGGCCGGCAGTGAATTATCCTGAGCTTTTCCCTGAGAACCAGAGGTTTTTTCTTAACTGCAATGCTACAGAAGAGTGGTCAAATTCCTTAACTCCAATTGCATTTCAAATATCCGTGCCACTTTTATTTTTAATATGGGATGGGCCATCATTCAAATAATTTTTAAGTTGTATGTCCTGAAGTAACAAAACAATAATGCATAGTCTAAAGTTCATCGTGTGCGGATAGACTTCTAGATCGGGCACTTCGTGGGTTCTATTACTTGGTCACTTGGTAACGGACAATAAAGTTTTGTGAAGCAATGCTATTATGCAATGCCCTACTGAACAAAACCCTGTCAAAATATCTCCCGCCCACGTAGAAAACATGATAAATCTGATTTAAATTCTAACAATAAAATTCACTTTGTCACATTGTCTGTGAATGCTTCTGAATCTGATCAACTTCTGATAGGTGAAGAATGAAGAGCTTGCTTCAGGGCTGTGGTTTCAACATATTAGGACACCCACGAAGCTGCGCCTGCCGCGCCAAGCCACGCCTCACGACAAGAGATACCAGTATACCACGCACTTACTGCCCATGCCAATCACCCGACACATGTGGGAGTTAAAGCATTCCAATACTTCATAATCGTGTCAACTGTCAAGTATTAGAGCTTTTCCTAATATCCAGAGGTGGTACGGTTAATTCATAATAAGGAGCCGGTATGACTATCAGGATCATGTTTATTGGTTAAATTAAAACGTCTGTTGCCGGGTTCCTATGGGTGGGAT